GTCACCGGACTCCTCCCCCCTGCCCTTCGTTAGCCGACTGAGCCACTTGGGGAAGGAGTCCGGTGACGTTGATGTCCGTGACGTCACCAGATCGCCGACGGGACTCCCGGAAGCCGGCGGAGAGGTGAGTGTTTTTCATTAGCGATCAAAATAATTTTAATCGATCAAAAAGTTTAACAACTCCTTAAGATTCAGACCATTCAAACCATGATTTTACTGTTTGTTAATGAAAAATGAATGTGGTTGATTACAAGTGAGAAACACAAAAAAAAACTATTTTCAACATATTTCCACACATGAGGCCTGGGGATTGATATACCTAACAAATCTGGATGACTTATCTAATACATCAGTCATGACTGTAACATCTCAGTTGTGTCTGCCTGTACAAAACCTGAAATATATATGTTTTCCTTATAGATGAAAGGTTTCCTGTCACATGCAAAATAGAAAAGAACTTTATATCACTGAATTATCTTGCTCGCTATGTGCAACCTCAACCTGCTGAGGGCTGTATTATAAGGCCGAGTGACGATACAATGGTCCACATCATTGAGCTGGATTCTCCAAACCTCTCATCACATAGGTAAAATTAACTGTACAATAAAGTCACTTTATTCTTCAGTTTTTCATACTTTTTACCTTACCGACAGAACAGACAGCGATTTTTGTTTGATCAGATATTATATGCTGTACACATATAGTATAAAAATCGTTATAAATACTTAATTAAATGCATTTGCATGAATAGTGGCTCTTTGTTTACTTGTGGGTGGAAAGAATTTGGACCGGACTGAAATATTTGCTTCTATTTTTGTGTAATTTCAGCTTAGTCCACACAAGCAATGTTTCCCAGAGTTGGTGGCATTGAGATAGCCAAAGTATCACATATGCTTTTCATTTCCAGTACACATTACATTGCCAGATTCTAATTGTCGTTGGAAGTTAAATCTACGGTACCATGCAGCTGGTTGCCTTGGTACAAGAAACACCCTCGATATTTTTAGGCTGTCGTATTATAACCTTTTCTGGTTTTACGTGCTTTGAATGAAATTCCTTCAGCATTTTTTTTTTTTAAACCAAGGGCTGAACTTGGATATATCTAGCCTAATGACATCTTAGCATGCCAAGAACGTTAATTTCCTTTAGAGCTGTGGTGGATTACTTACAGCTATAAACTGGGTGCTTCCAAACCAACCAATCAACTGCAGTTCACGCAGATAGAGAAGTCAATGTGTGTTTCTCATTTATATCAATATTTCATTTACTAGTGACAAGATAGAATAATGTCACTACTAGGGAAATATTAGCTTGCATTGTATGAAGTGTAGGTACCACCCATAGATTAGGCTTTTGCCCAACTCCAGCCAACACTTTTGAACTTCTGTGAAGTGTTAAAGCAGCCATTGATTAAAAAATGCAAAGTCTGCTTTAATAACATACCTTTACCACCCAAATACAAACATTCTTTGGAAAAGGGTCCAAAAAATGAGGCATTGTAAAAAAAATTAAAATGTCAATTTATATTATTATTATCATTATATTATTATACAGGATTTATATAGCGCCAACAGTTTGTGCACTGCTTTACAATATTAGGAAGACATTACAGTTACAATACAATTCAAGACAAGATGGTAAGGAGGGCCCTGCCCCTGAGCGCTTACAATCTTATAGAGAGGGGCAAGTGATACAAAAGGTGGTAACTGTGTGGGGAAGTTGTTTGAAAAAGTAATAGCTCAGCGGTTGGGTCGAGGTGGGAAAGGCTTCCCTGAAGAGATAAGTCTTATGGAATCGCCTAAAGGCAGACAGAGTAAGAGATAGCTGGACAAGTTGGGGTAGGGTATTCCAGAGGATGGGGAAGACTTTAAAGAAGTCATGGAGGTAAGCATAAAAGGAAACAACGAGAAAGCTAGAGAGCAGGAGGTCTTGGGAGGAGCAGAGGGGACACTTAGGGTGATATTTTGAAGATATAGCTGGGGGCAGTGAGTAAGTACTAGACTTGTGCACAGCATTAAAATGTATTTTGGAGGAAACTAATAAAAAGGGAAAAACCTTTGTTTTTGAAACGGATAATGATGCTGCACGAATAAAGCGCACAATTTAAAAAAACACACGGCGGCCATATTGGACACCGCCAAGGTCTGCGCATGGGACACCATGTTGGAGGCGGGGCTCATGACATCACTCTTCGCCGGGTGATGTCACCCGCATGTATGGGCACTGCCATCTCGGATGCAGCAAGATGCCGGTTCCCATATAAAACAAAATAATATATGCCAGAATATAGTTTTTCGTACATTCGGGCATATAATAATTTGTTATTATCGGATTCGGAGGAACTGCTGAATCAATGGAATGTCCTGATTCAGCAAGTTTTTCCGATCTAAATGCACATGTCTAGTAAATACTTACCTTCTGGCGTCATCATGACAACCTGCTTCTGTCAGGAAAGGTTGTTGTTTTGAAATCCTGCAAGAATACGCTCCAGCAAGAAATGACTCATCAGCCTATCTAACTTTTTTTCCATTGCTTAAAGGAAATGTTCACCTTTTGCAAAAATTAAAGAAATACATAATTAATAATATATTTTAAAAAATATGCATTTCTTTAATTTCATTCAAGCCGGGAAAGCATTGCAATTTTGATTTTTGATCACAGCTGCAAAGCTCAGGCTTCTGCACATTCTCTCCCAGGCAGAGCTTATAATGAGGTATGGAGTTTCAGTTAGGAGAGATGGGGGAAGGATAGCTGTACTTCAAACTGCATTAAATCACCACCTCATACGTCGCCCAGCTGTCCTTGCTTTAGGTAGATGCGGGAATATGGGCAACTCTACCTACAGTGAGGACCTTCTCCCCAGCTCTCCTAACCGAAACTCCGTACTTCAGTACTAGTTCTGCCAGTTTACTTATATGCAGAAGCCTGAGCTTTGCAGCTGTGATCGAGTGATCACAATTGCAATGCTCTCCCGGCTTGAATGCAAATATTAAAGAAATGCATTTTTTTATATATATATATATATATATGTTTAATTATGCATTTCTTTAATTTTTGCAAAAGGTGAACTTATCCTTTTAATGTTCACTTTTTATGTTCCTTACACCAAGCTATGTAGATTGTGTTTGGAAACAATTTCTACTTCTGATTTGGTTGTGATGTGGTGTTTCTGGTATATTGTCCACCTTCCGTATGTATACAGGGATTTGGTACTAGGAGAACTCTTTTAAACTTTTATTTTGTAGATAACTCCCAAGACACTTCTGTTTTTTATCAGTTGCCATTTGCTAGTGCAGTCTGTTTAGCACATGTTTCACAATTTGGAGAGAACTGCAATGTTTAATTGGTTGATCATGCTGGAACAGAAGATGTTAAACTGACTGGAGATAACTGGCATTCATTTCCCATTCTGTTTTTATTGTTCCCATTTAGTTCATTCCAGGTGGACATAATCATTGACATCAGGCCACTCGAACCAGATGCCAAACTTTCCAAGTGTCTCATTCTTATTCTGAAATGTGAAAAGGCAGTCAACTGGGTTATCAAGACGCACAATATTGCAGGCAACATAAAAGTCCTGGTATGTTGTTTTTTTTTATCTCTACTGCTATTTACGTTTATATATGCAATAACTTTAAAGTATAATTAAACTCTCATCACAATATAAGTATTTTTACACATTCTAATGTTTTCAGGATCATTTTTCTTTTATTTATTACATACTTTTGATGTCTGTTTTACATCCCGGTACAAATCTCCTTTCCATAAATTAGTTGCATAGGTAAATTAGTTAAAGAGATATGGGCAGAGCACATTTCTGCTAGCAAAAATACATCCTCGGATGCCTGTTTATTTCAAGTATTAGAGTGTGGGGTTATTCTAAAATGATGATGAATAAAATCCCATTTTAACCTTGCAGAATTATGCAGAATCCGAGTGTCTGGTCCACACATATTTTGCCATTCCTGTTTGCAATTCCCTGATCATGGTAAAAATGCATCCAGAGAGATAATGATCTGTTCCTTTAAAGTGTTTCTAAACACAAAAACAAAAATGTAATCTATTATAGCCTACCCATCCCTAAATGTCAAGGCTGCATTTATTTTCTTTTTTAGGCTTCGTTCTTTTAGTTTCACAATGTTATCCGACCAGTAACACACTTCCTGTCTTAGGAGGGCTCTACTCTGTGGAGGAGCAATGGGGCCACTCTCGGACAGCAGTATTGTTACCCCATGGAGAGGGTAGTGTTAGATATACTTGCAAATCTAGATAGAATTGACAAACAAGGTAAATCCAAACTCCAACACTTTTTAAGCAGTTACAGCTGCCTTTTTTTCCTTTTTGGATAAATGTTTTACAAAAAACCCTCTATCTGACACTTTTGCCGGACCACTTGGTCTATTAAATGAGTTTGAAAAATTACATACTTACTGGCAGGGTCACCAAGTGAGAATAAAGGAAAAAAAGCCTAAAAAAGAAAACTGAGGCAGCCACCACATCTAGGGATTAGTGAGCTGTAATATATTCTATTATTGCTTTTGGGTTTAGATAGATATACTTTAAGCAACCATGCATTCTGACCGCACAATCTCTGAGGCCGATCCCTGAAATCATATATCACATGACCAGCAGATCAGGAGGTTTTATCAACTTGGCTAATCTTCATTGACCTCTTGCAGTGGGTAGGACCAAGCTCTTTATACTATAACTTATTATAGGTACAGGTTTACACATTTTACCTCCTTTACCGTCTGAGTGGGCAGTGTAGGCTGAGCTGGTAAAATGCTTTTTTGTTTCATGCAAGGCCTCCATTAGGCCACAAAAACACTATTATATTTGCTGTCACTGTGATAAGTAACAATCAACAAAACAATTGATCGTTAGTAGATAGTCTTTCAAAAATATATACCTAAAATGGGCAACATATCTTAAGAAGTAAATGGAAACACAATTTGATTTGAACATGACCCCAATGACAAGAGCTCCCCTCTTATACTTGTTGATGGATTGTTAGCAATTCACTTACAATAACATACATTCTAACACCTTGCAAGGCTAAACTTATCTAGAGTGTTATGTTATCTCTGGTTTTAACTTATTTATAGACTACTAAATTAGTTTATAAATCCAAGTTATTTCATTCTTATCATCAACACTAATTGGCTTAACACTTTTGTGGAATTGGATAGGAAATTACTTATGATCACTTAGAGCAAACTATATGTATATTTAGACTGCAGAACAGACCAGTTATTCTAGAAAGCTGAACAGATGTCGTGCTTATCCATAACCATTAAGGTTTATCACAAACCTTAATTTCGATGTGAACACATTTTTGCAAATATCTTGTAGATATGTGATAGTTGCACAGTCAGCTGACTGCAATCTTATTTCTTTTGGCTGCTTAAAAAAAAAATACATCTGATTTCCTAATAAGATAATTATGTAGCATATACCACTAAGATGTTTTTGTGTGTTTACTGTGTTAAGAATAAAATGTTTACAAATGATTGTTTCATGTTTACCATCTGTAGCCTGCAGGTGGAGTTATTTTGCAACTGCAGTGCTAAAAGTAGCAGACACATTGCTGCATTCTACCTCCTAGCTGAGACAACAGTGTATTAATTAGTCAGTTCACCCAGGAAGCCAGAAACCATGTAGGCAGCCATGGGCTTTCTCAAATTTGCACACTTAGGGACCAGTCATAGAGCAGTGGTATGGCCTTACTGTGTGCTTTTATAAAAAAGGCACATTAATAAAGCACAGCACTGTGCTTTGAGTATCCTTCAAATTGCTTGCTTTGGGACGAAAGCATGTGAAGATTGGGGGGAAAAAAGGCCAGAAGGAGGAGAGCCTTGTCACATGACCTGTCAAACTTTATGAGACTGACCTCTCCTACAATGAAAAGCAGGATGTCACTAGCATACTGGAGGAATCTGACCATACGTGATATTGAGCCAATAGGACTATACGACATATTGAGCCTGATGAAGGGACCCTGCGCATCCCGGAAATGTTGCAACTCTTGTGACAATATGTCTATGCGTCAATAAAATATGTTTCTTTAGACACATTAATCTGGTGTGCTGGTGACATCCTGCTTTTTTTTATTAATCTGGGCGGTGCTATCCACAGTCATTTCAGCACCCTTCCTTAAGCGGTTTGCTGGTAAGTTTTGTGGTAAGTTTTCTTTTGAACTCTCCTACAATCACAAAGTGATCTTTGCAGCATTACATAGAAAGCACTCCACTGGGCACCATGAGCTCAATACCACAGTTTACATTTTATGAATAAAGCATCAAATGCAGATTACAGTGTGATATAAACACTGTGGTGTCTGTTGTAGAGGGGATAGTGAGATACAGGGGTTGATTTACTAACCTGATAAACACACCACAAACATGTATACACCTCTGTAGTGTGTTCTTTCCCAGCATGATCTATGGGTGGAATCTAAACACCTTTGTAGTGTGTACACACCCAGCAGGTGTGTTGTCCAAAGCCGAGCATGAATTGCAAGGTTATGATGTGTAAATTAGCTCTATGTTGTGTTGCTTGCGTTGATGAATGCAGGAATGTAAATGCATGAGCTAACCATTTTTGTCTAAACTGTGAAGCAGCATTATATATGCATCATGTGCATGATTTTTCCATATATGGCATTAGTGGAAATATGCTTTTAGAGACTTTTTGGTTGATAAATACGTTTTGCTGTGTAAAAATCACACGCACCTGGTGCGTGCATGTGTTTAGGTTAGTAAATCACCCCCACAGTCTCCTTTGTATATCGGCCCCTTAGTGTCATGGATTCACCTTGTAATAAATGCTTATTAGTGCAATAAATAATTTTTTTTTACACAAAGTGACTAGAAAAAAAGATCTGTTTTTGAACTTCAAAAAAATACATTTAACCAAAAACCATTATTGTTCCCCTTTTAACAGACCTAAATGGTAAGCTGTTCTTCTTTTAATTCATTTTAAAGTACATGATGTAAAAACTTGCAGAAAGTTAATGACAGTTCTTTTAAATAAAATGGCAATAACAATTTCATCCAAGCCTCAATCACCTTCTAATTAAATGGAAACTTGCACGAGGGATGAATTTCTCATGTCCCCAATGGGTAGTGTTTATATCTGATGTGGCTTTATGTTATTTTGGTCAGTGTAAACCATGGAGAACAGCTCTGTTGCTGTAACGTACTTGCGGCCTGTTCCAACTCTGTATGAACTAGGCTTGACCTTACGTTTCCATTTCAGCTTTCGTTTATTTCTATCTGGGTCTTCTTGACCCGGGTGCTTATGATTAATGTTCACTATAAATAAATAAAAAAGCAAAAAAATTTACCACTTAGGGATTCTGTCATCTGTGATTAACCCCTGCAGTACTTACAACTAGCTTTCCAAAATCCAGCAGGTATCAAGTACTGCACGGCATGCTAATTCACCAGGGAAGGGAAATCTCCACATTGTGGCTTACTGTAGGCTGCCAAATGTTTTTATTTAAAACATGTGTTGTTTGATTTTTTCTTTCTTCAAGATAAGTAGATTGTAATTTTTAGGGCTTTTACTCTGAATACTCTTCTGAAACGTCAACACTCATTCATGTAAGAATGGTGTTGAGGTTTTCTTATAGAAGTATATTTATTCCTAGAAGCTAATCCTTGTTAAGCTTACCTAGGGGCTCATTTAAAAGCAGCGGAGAAAAAAAAATGAACACAACATTTTAATAAAGTTATATGCTTTTCAAATGTGCTTTGGGTTCCACCGGCCTCAATACTTTGAAGCCGATGGAGTGCAATTTAAAATGAGTGTTGAAAAGTTATCCTTCAAGGTCACATGAGCAGCTCTTCCCTAGTAATGGAGGCTTTGCCGATTACACAACATGCCCAATTTTTAGGAAATAGTTTTTTTATCTTAATATTAATGAGATTATTAGCTTATTAATACTTTCTTATTTTTATTTAATCACTGAAAATGTTGAAGTGATGCCTGCCAACACTTTTCTATTATTACATTATTTGTATTGTATTTTATATACTCTGTTATTTCTGTTATTACATTACTTGCATTATATTATTTTATAAAATATTTTATGTATATATTTTAATGTTTTAAACAATTAGCTTGCAATAAAGGTTAATATTAGACATGTGCACTGCCAAAAAAATTCGTTTAGTTTCGTTTCGTTTTAAATTCGGATTTGTGTTATTTCGTTTTTCGGGATTCGGGTGTGAAAGTCAATTCGGATTCGGAATTCGGATTTGGACGAAATTCGGTAGCGTTAGGTCGAACGTTCGTTTCGTTTTCTGTTCTTATTCGTTTCGTTCGTTCGTGACATTCGAGGGGAAAAAATATTTTTCTCCTTCTCTAATGTCACTTTGCTCCAACGAACAAAACGAATAAGTAACGAATAAGAAACGAATAAGAACAGAATACGAAACGAACGCTCGAACTACCGCTACCGAATTTCGGAAATGGAAATTCGGATTCGTTTGCATTCGTTATGTCTGTAATTCGGAATTCGGATACATCCGAATGTCCGAATTTCCGAAAATTCGTCCGTCGATTCATGACGAATTGACATGTTCGCACATGTCTAGTTAATATGCAGTGAGGCATATTGGCAGAACCCACCAGGCTATCCTTGCTCCAAACACACCTTAGCAGAATTCCTCCAAACCTCCTAGAATGTGTAAGACTATGGCCCCAGTTAAGCATATCCAGTGGGGACTTTGTACCCAAATCTTAGACATGTTCTGACCTTTTCTTTGCTTTTACTTCTCTTGCTTCCTCTTAATGTAATCATAAGTTTATTACCAATGCATACTTTACAAGTGTGGAAAAATATGTTATAAGAATTCTATATATAACTGTGTAGGATATTATTTCTTATCAAGTTGATGATCTTATTGCCAGCATGAACAGCTGGTAAGCTACAGCTGCATCAGTAATTCTGGCCCTAGCTATGAGGGTGGTCTTGGATATGGTACCATTTGTGACTACAGCCATGATTTATTTCTAAATCTTTTTCCAAAACTCTTGAGTTTTAAAGTTCACTGCTTAGCCCCTCCCTTTCCTTATTAACCTAGTATTGCCCACTGTGCACAGTTCCATATCTCAATGCATTTGCAGGTAATTATATGCCTCCTCTAATGTTTAACACAACATTGCTGGGTTGGTCCAGATCGTGTCACAACCAGATGAACTCATCAATTAAAAAATAATCAATGGGTTAGTGTGAGCTACTGCACCATTTCTGAATCAATCCAGTACCGTATTCAAAAGCTACATTCACATCTCTGCATTTTTTACATGTTATTGCATGGGTTGCACTGTGTGTTTTTTATTTGTTTTAAAATAATATTACATGCACTTCCATTCATGGAACATGTTCTTTGCTGCAAACTGCACCAAAGATGCAGGTTAACATAGACTTATAACTGGACAGATGGGTTTTGCATGTAATTACATTACCAGATGGTGCTGCAAAAGATATATTAAGTCTATTTATGGGGTCATTTTTCTCTTAATTAACTGTATATTCAACCAAAGTTTTTGGTTTACTAACCTTACACCTAAAGCTCCAAAATCTTATTCTTAACCCCTTGCTTAAGAAAACTGTATACAGTGAGACATGATGGCAAATATACTGAAAAATAGATTTTGGGATTACTTTAACACACAAAATTGTCCAGCCATGGGGTAGTTCTAGAAATCCTTTTAAGTATCCTTTAAGTATCAAAACCAGTTGTTTGCTTGATATGCCTTCTATTGTAGATAATGAACTTATTTTTAAAGAGTGCTAAATTTAAATGGATAAGTTATGTTAATGTTTCATAGAAATACAATTCACATCGACATTCTTTACATACAAGCATGAAAATGTTTCAATTTGCATGAAGAAAATTCCAGACCGTAAAAAATAAACAGTTGTCGAAAATGAGATGCATTTTATTTGAAACTAAATCTAGAGTGGGTGCATCAATTGAACTGGATATTTAGCGTAGCTCATCTATCTGTGGTTTAGTAATGTCCATGCTTCAATTGACATAAAGTTCACATTTTATTTTTCTAATCTGAAGCCTCAGAAAAAGGTCATACATATTTTCACATATGTTAGTAATTGGGTTACCAAAGCATATTTTGTTTGCACACGGAGCGGGGTACCAAACCTTTTTTGTTGATATCTAATTCCAGTCTGTTATTGAAGGAAAGTACATGTTTCATGCTTGGAGATTTCAAGCTAGTCTGAGGTCACTTATTGTGGGAATGAAGGCGTGAGTACGCCCTATTCGTGATCAAAAGGCTTGTTCCAGCTATGTTTTTTTTCAAATCTTAATTGTTCTCTGCAAGATTTGTTTTAGATCACATTGACCTTTCTATATGGAATTCACTCTGGGGTGCCCAGAAAAAACTCCACATCTGTTTACTAGTGCAGTGTTTTCTATTTGAGGGTTCCCTATTTGCCCATTGCTACATTTTGCATTTCCTCTGTCTTTGCTAAAATCCAGAGGTCACGAGTGTTTTTCAGACGCATATGACAAGTGGTGAAAAGCTGCCTGTTTGAATAGGAATTCAGTAAGGAAAGTACACCACAATGTACAGAATGGTGCAGTATGTAGCATAACACACGGGGTAGAATGATGTGAAATATATACTGTAATTTACAACATAGTTTACAGAGTGAAGTGCTGTGAAGCATATTATGTACAGCATAATGTGCAGAGTAAAGTGGGATGAAGTATAATATGTACAGCATAGTGTGCAGAGTGCAGTAGGGTGACGTATGTAATGTACAGCATAATGTGTAAAGTGGTTTAAAGTATACTATGTACAGCACAGTGTGCAGTTTGGAATGGGTTGATGTATATAATGTACGGCGTAGGGTGCAGAGTGAAATATGTAATGACTAAAGTTTTGCCAGTGACCGAAACCTGGCACGATACAGGTTCTCCCAATGTTTTGTACCTCCTGTGAAACATGGGAAACATATTGCCTATAATAATTTAGGTTTCTTTTATTGTGTACAGTTGAGTAATTCTCTCTGATCTAAATTTGTGATATTGGTTAATTGTATTTACAAGTCTGATGCTGTTCTCATTCTAATGTGATTTTTCTATTTGCTCTTCCATCTGTAGACTCCAAACAGTGTCAGCTTTGACAAAGATACAGAAAAATCTCTGTTAACAAGCAAACGGGTGATCCCAAACATTCCATCAACGCAGGAGGGTTTAATCAAGTGGGCCTCTGATGAAAATTACCCAGCCAATTCCTACACTCATGCATCAGTGGCAAACAAGTTCCACATTAAACTCGTTGATGACATAGGTAGGGATTAAAAAGCTCAATATTTGCACATGTGAATTTAATTTAATGTGCATTCACTTTGATACCAGATGGAGACATCTGCACTGTGCTTGTCGTATGGCTGTGGTAAAAAAAAGAAAAATGTATACATATAAAATCAGTGTAAATCTGAGACATGTTTGTTTTGCAGACTTTTCTTTGCAGAATAGAGACAAGAGTATTCCTGCTGTTTACTCCACGGATTTAGGTTCTGTATTACTACAAGAACCTTAATTTAAGGTCCCTAATCAGATTAGCGATCCAGCATGTATTTTTATTTTTTATGATTCTGTAATAGCTTTTCAGTCTATTTATACAAGGCTTCATATTGCGTAGCTTAAAAATGTGCAAGGGCCAAGAATTAGGTCCCAGTATGATCATATTCATGGAACATGATTATAGGCTTTAGGCATGAAAACTATAATGTTCCAGTGCATCTTTTTCTAAAATCTACTTTTTGAAAAATCTGTTTTTCTTTAAAATGAAAACTATTCACCAATCGGTATTTATAGTAATTTGCACCTTCCTTCTTGAATTGTTAGCGCAGCCATTACTCTCTCTGGGATTATTTGTTTTGATGTATTACTTGCTTGTATCCTGCCACAACAAAACTGTTGCGTACTAAGGCTATCCTGTCTCTTGTCTGAGCTCAGTGCTGACAGCAGACACTCCTAAAACTACATATAACAATGGTCAAATGTCAGTTAGCAGCCAAGTGTTCCTTATTAACCCTGAGCTTAGGCAAGAGTCATGTCAGGCTTCATGATGTCCGAGGTTGCTGACACAGGGCCAATCTTTTTGCTCTGACAGGGAAGGAACACCATGCACACACAGCTATTCCTGGGAGGTAATGTTGCACTGTTATAAAATGTAGGTGGAACTGAACTTAACAACTAATTCAGAAACTAAAGATATGTTATAGGGAACATCTAGAAATATTAATTGTGCAGTACCTGAAAAATTTACATTTTGTCTGAAATTACTCCTGAGGAATAGCAGTGTACTTTCTGGTATGTAGGGGTTCCCAGGCACTACTGTGCCTACAGCCTCATAGTTGTATATTTTTGCAGTGTGAGATCTAAGACTACTAATCCCAAGAGATGTGTTGATATTGCCACTGTGCTGCTAATTGTTCTTCTTGCTGGAGGCTTCAACATAAGGAATCAAAACTCTGCCTCTACCAAGATGGCTGCCTCCACACAGAGACTGTGCAGTACAAGGCATGTTAAATCAGTAATCTGAAAAAGATCAGCTGCAGGGAGACCACAGGCAATGCTGCTGACTAATGCTTTGCCTTCTTTGTCTGCTTTTTCGGGCACAGCTTCCAAAGTGTAGTTCCTCCCTAAGGACAGAGATTCAAATTCTTGCAAATGTCTGTTCCTTAATGATTCACTTTAACAGCCAAAAGCAGAAGTAACAAAGTTTAGAAAATATATTGCAGAATACATATTCTGTGTGGAATATATTAATAATTCAAACACATATCTAGATATAGTCCCTTCCGCATCCAAAGTATATAACTATTTACTGGTGTGAGTGCATTGCAAGTTACCAACTTATACACAATAACTTATTCTTTTTGGATTCTTTGTCACATTTAAAGTGTATCTACATCCAAAACCTTTTATTAGTTTTGGATAGCGTGAGAAAGGATCAGAACTCCTATTAGGCATTATTACCAGTCTGGTAAAAAGGTTGTCCCCAGAACAGGAAGTGAGGGCAAATCTCTCTAAGAGCAACACTGACAGAAATAAAAATGCTTTTCTTTTTTATTAAGTTAAGTAGGTGGATTGCTAGAACCTCTGTTAGCTTTTTATTGTCGTCGGTTTCCTTGTTGCAGATTGTCCTTACTTCCTGTCTGGAAAAAGGTTGTCCCCAGATCAGGAAGTGAAGATACATCTCTCTAATGGAGCAGTGCAACCTTTTAGGAGTTCTAGCTTTTCTCTTTTCTATCCATAAGTAAAAAATGGGGGTATAGATATAATTTAAGCATCGCTACCAGAAAGCCGGTAATGCACTATAGCCATATCACACATCTCTCCTTTTGTTGCATGTCAAGGTGACAACATTGTTACTTTGGCAAGAAGTGAGAAGAAATCAAACAGGCGCAGAGAGAGCAATAAAATGCTGATGTAGGTTCTATTATTTTCCCACCCTACTAACAAAATCATTTTATTGCTATTGTGTCCATGTTAGAAAGATTTCCCATCACTTACCTTCCTGGATACAACTTTGTTCTAACTGTTCCATATTCTACCTAAACTAAAAAAAATTGGGGATAGACTTTAACCAGTGTAATTATTTTGAGTGTAAGTGGATTGATTGCATCTGCCACAGTCATAATACCCCCAAAAAATGTCCTACATGTAATTATAATTTAAATGAAATAATATAATAGCAATGTATTAGTTCTGAATTGTTAAAATGAATATATGAATTATTGCTATGAACTATTTTTTTAATTGTTCAGTAGAGATGAACGATGAAGACAAGTCGGCAATTCCCCCTGAATGGTTAGACTTTCTGCGTCCGAGTGATACAGAAGGAATAGAAGAGTATGATCATACATCAGAACATTTTCTGCATGGAGATATAGAAGGTCTAGATGAGAGAGCCTTGCTGAAAGAACCAGAGGAAGCACAGGGGAATATTAATGTTGCCTTGTCTGTTAAATGCAATGAGACTAAGATGGTGGCAGCTGTACAAAAAGAAAGCCTACAGGTGCGTAACTTTAACATACAGTTAGATTGGTTTATATGTAAATATGATCAATTAAATCAGGTGTTTTTGCATTTAAAGAAATATGATGTAACATAAGTAATTTTTTTTCCTTTAATGACTTGCAAAATTATTGGTAAATGCATCAAAATTCAGATCTTTGGCACGCAAATGGAAGGGAGTCATGGTGACAAAAAAAATTAATAGGCAACAATGGGTGTTAAAAATGAAACATTTTGTTTTAATGGTAGGAATATTTTTTACATTTATATTTAAAAGGTAACTAAAATATTCTTAATGTAAGGTAATCTATGTTTAATTAACAGTCCTTTTAAGAAGAACTCCAGGATTTAAAAAAATGTACCTTTGCAGTGTGGCTACCCACTGCAAAGGTTACCACAATTTCACGTTTAGTTTACTAATTTGTACTGGATTGTAGTCCATCATGGGAGAGAGCTTGGAGTGGTGGCTACTTTACAACACTCACAGGGACCATAGGGAACAAATATAGCCACCCTCCAGAAGAAAGGGCAGTGTCACCATGAATTAAAAGCAGATGATTTGAGGATCTACAGCTGAGTGATTACACAAATAAGCTACATTTTTGTTACTAGTTATGGTACTTGAATGCATTTGTAAGATTTAACTACTGCATTTAGTGTCACTTTAATCATTTTAAAATTATAACATTTACTTGCATAATATATGTTAGGCTAAAATCACAAGAATAATGATCTTCATTTTCAGCCAAGAACACATTTTAAAATCTCATCAGACTCTACTTAAAATAACTATTAGGCTCTTGCCGGCTCTTGGTCTGCAGACTTGTTTGCAACACACTGTTTTTGCATTTTGATACAAATCTACAGTAATGAAAAACCTGCTTAAATTCTGAATTAATTCTGAATGATCTCAGAAGCATCTCAAACTAATGTCAAATCAATGCTATCCACACACGCCCAAAGCTGTGAACATAGGCCCTTACTTTTTGAAAATAAGGACCCTTATCTCTTTGTGGTAGCTTTGTGTACCAAGCCTTTTGTGTCAATATATTTTCTTTCCTAAAAAATGAGTGCTTTTTATTCAGTTGTGGTTGGCTAAAAAAAAACACTTAAAACCTTAAGGCACGTGTCAGTGTCTTTTGGCTTTGAATGTATTTACTGAGTACACATGAGAATGCATTTTGCTTCTAATTATGCTTTTCGGCCATAGCTGTTGACTTGTTGCATCCTTTTTAAGGCCAATGGATACATAGGGGCAGAGCTTTCTCTACTCGATCCAGTATGCAGAGCACAGGAAAATGACACTCATTTTATCTTAGAGTCTTCCCTGGAGGGATGTCGAACACAGCACACCATTGATGGCTCAAGTATTGTTTACTTTAATAATGTAAGTAGTTTGATGGGTTAATCTGAGGCATTTTGACAGAAATCTAGCAACAAAACTTTGCTAAAGATTAAATTCTTTTTTGGAATTTCCTAGGCAGTGTAGAACTTTGTCCCTTGTTTTGGTATATCTACATTTTCGTCTTCCTTTTTTTGGTTACAACTTATCCTTCTATCTTTACACCATTCACACCATGTTGAATTTGTTTTTTCTTGCCTTCAGAAGATCTTTCCTATTGTTTTTATCTTCCATTTCCTGACTGAAAGCATTAGTTTATCATCACCCACATTGACCAGTATAGTTAAATCTAAGCTGAAGATCTTCAGAACTCACCTTTTCTCCAAACCCTACCCAAAATGCAGCAAGAAAATACCCATCCTTTTTTCCCACTCGTTCTATTTTAAAGTTTGAGGAGCAGAACTCAAAACAGTGTATTTTAGTTGCTCATGACTTTTCTGGAGAAAATTATTATAGTATTTATTATCTTTTCTGCCCTCTATTTATCATAGGACAGAAGGGACAAATATAATATTGGGAAGTCATTATAATCTCCAGTATTTTTATATCCAGTGTCATTCTAACGACAATACATTATACTGTAGTTATGTGCACTGACTGACTGACAGTCTAATACCTTTGTCTGTTCTAAATTTGCTTACCCAGTCCAAGTTAGCTGTAACCCCAGATTTGTTTTCTTTAGGCCAGACTCACATGTGTAAAACATGGTAACATGCAGTAAAAAGTGTTACAACAATGCACTGTAACACATATTACAACAGTGCTTTGTGGTGCTACTCATTTTGAATTGTGCTTCATTGCACCACAATGCACAAAAGGGCTGTGAATTGTGATGCACATTATGGTGTGTTGGACCGCTATTCAAAATTAATGACACTACAAAGCACTGCATTATGTTGCAGATCCATTAAAATGCATGTTTACTTGCATGAGGTAATGCACAATAAAAGTGTGAAACTGGCCTTAATTTTGGAGCAACCACACATTGGAGACAATTGAAATATAATGCTCATAGTCAATGAGCATTTTTTAGGAAATAATGGCATGCATATTCAATTCACCTTCACTTAAAATTAAAGCTTTAGGCTAAAAAAGAGTTAACACATAAGCTGTTTCTCTGTTGCTCATGAACAACACTAATAGTTATATAAATTAAGCAACTTGGATTTAGCTTCATCCATATAGACTGTACCCAGTCACACAACCTGCAGGGGGGATGCCAAATGACACAGCAAAATAGTTGAGAGCTACATATGTCTCATGAGCCACTGATGGGGCAACGTCGCTCAAGATTTAAAGCTTTAATACCCAGCTTAGTTAGATATTTTGCTAGACTTGGTTTTGTAATGAGCTTCATCTAGGCCACGTTTTTTATTCTGCCCATTCATTGGTCTATAAAACAAATCTCTTGCAATCTCTATATTTGAGCCTGAAATAAAATCCAAATCCTTCTCTTGACATAAGTATTGTTCACACGATAGGGCAGCTTCCTCCCCAGAGCTCAATCCGAACCTATAAAAAAACACATGTTCCTTTTCTCTTGCTGGTTTCATAGTTTCCACATGCTCCCAAACAATCTGTTTTTCCTATGACCTTGCCTGTTGGTCATTTAGGTGCTTTGTTTGTTTGTGTGGAGTTCCCCCAATGTAAAATGAGTATGCTCAATGGAAAAGCAATCAGACATATTTACCAAAAGTCTTTTAGTCAAAAAACATTTTTGTATGCTTTTTTTTTTTGAAAGCAGTCACACTGACAGCTTTTCCTGTGATGTTCCAGATTGTTGTACAGCTATCACCACCCACTGAGGGAAGTGGCTGGCCTAGTGATTACGAGGATTTGGAATCTGGCGATAGCGGGTTTACAGGAGGCACGGATGAAACTGAAATAGGTCTTCCGTACTTGAAGCGTCATGAAATTGCTGTGGTATGTGTTTTTTCAGGAAGACATATAGGGGTGACTTCCCTTTTTAAAATGTTTTTTTTATTTTTTTATTAGACCCATATTATTAGACTGAATTGGCACTCACAAGACTGAGGTGAAGAATGTGCAAACTGTTTTGTGCATTTACTCAACAGTACATTCAGGCTGCTCTCTTGGTTCCCAAAGTTGTTACCTAGTCTACATAGTTAGGTTGAAAAAAGACACAAGTCCATCGAGTTCAACCTAAAGATTGTGACCTTTGTAATCCCTGCTACTACTGCATGCCAGTGACTTGGTCCATGTCCCTCTTTTCGTCATTATTTTTCACCTTGGCGTTCAGATAACGGTTTATGTGCTTCAGAATTCCACAAATATATGACTGTGAATAGCAGCATCAATCTGAGCACATAGTGTATTTTTAATAGTTGCACTGATTACGGTGTTCTAATTATCGGGGTTCATGTTCATTATTTTAACATAACGAAAATGACAATAAATAGAAGGTGGAGATCACCAGCACTCATGTAGTTGCATTTAATCCTTATGCTTATATATTGGAGTGAAAGGTCACAAACATGACATAGCCAATGTTTCAGGGCCACGCAGGGTCCCTTCATCAGGGCAACACAGTGACCACTATGGTCACTATGGTGCCCTGATGAAGGGACCCTGAGTGGCTCCCAAACACTGGCTATATCATGTTTGTGACCTTTCACTTCAATAAATAAGCATAAGCATCAAATGTTACTACTTGGGTGCTGGTGATCTTCATCTTCTACATGTTTGATACACACTGTGCCATCCGTGACTATAACTGTGAGCGCCACGGTTGTTCAAGTCCAATCGCTGTAAGGAGTGCGGGTGACACATCCATATACTACATGACAATAAATAAAGGATAGAAAACAGGGTCCATTAATGCTACAAACTCCTCTCTCCATATTGATTTTAGGGTGCCATGTGAACAAAAATAATTTTTTCCATTGGTGTTTTTAAAAAGGGCTTTCTAGTTTAGCTTCGCTGAAAACATTGGCTTCTGGTTTGGCATAAATAGATGTTACTTGTAATTGCTGTGTGCTAAAATGAAATAATATATTTATTTGTCATTAGAATGGCAAAAACAGATGGAAATATATATATATCTTTATTAAATACATTTTGGGGAATACCCATTTTATAATTGTTTATTTGAGCTTGGCTGTGTTCCACTCTCAATTCTTTAAGGGGCAGACCTAAAATGAGTGTCATTTTCAATACTAAATTCTCATGTGTGATATGCAAAAAATAAGCCAACGATCAGTTTGAAATGTCTTTTTGTTTTCATTTGATATGATGCAAATGGAATGCATGATGATGACGTAAATTATATGACTAAATAGTTCAGCTTTGTTGTGCTCACCACACTACATATTAATGCAATTCTGTAGGAGAAGCCAGTGATGTACGCAATAAAATTGCATTTATTGAGGTATTCTGGCACTGTTCCCAGCTTCGCTACCTCCTTTAGTTCTTCAGAAAGGTCCTTTTCTGGCCTGAAATGATCATTACCCAAGTGACACCAGGCAGCCTGTAGGTTTTGGATGCAGCTTTTGGTAAATTGGTATGTAGCTATGTTGAGATAAACTCATATTAAAAATCTTAATAAAGGCAGTTTATCATTTAGTTTTCTCATGAAAGCACAGAAAATGTGGCTGTGGTTGTTTTTTTTATTCTGAATTTCACATATGCAGTTATGTAGATACCATGATTAACAATTCATTCCAAGTCTAGAATAGAATAGTCTCTATTTTTAGGTCTTTTGGTTTTAATATTGAATTGTTTAGTAAAAATTCAAGTATAAATGTAGTCTGTGCCCCTATCTAAATCCTAAGGTACCCAGCTGCTGTGTTTAGTTAGATTTACACCACTCTTGCATACAAAATCACCTCTTACACACTGTGCTGAATAGTGAGTAATACAAAAAGCTAATAACTGGTTGAATATTAAGTGCTGCTGTGCTAAAAAATAAAAGAAATCATATATGCCATAATTAGCATTCTACATCACACATATCAATCAAATTCCATCACAAACTTTAATAATAATGAAGATCTGTAAAAAAATCTGTGATAACAATAGGTATTAAATAAAATAAAAAGGCTTTTGTGTTCAATATCCTTAAATATAAATAAAGTGATAATTTCAACCAAAAAAGTGCTTGTTTCCATCCATCATGAATCAATTTCTAACATAAGTGCTTGAGTCCATCAATCACCTATTCATGAAGTGCTGGTAGTGCAAGCAAAATCCACTGTGCTCCAAGTGTGACTTTAAATCCCTTCTCCCATCAAACCTCCCATGCAATTATAGTGCAGGAGGTGCATTGAGTGCCATGCATTTTATTGGCATCCCAAATGTACCCCCTGCCCGCAGTGTGACTGTGTTCTGCTAGTTAAAATAATAGTTAGCTGCCAGCTTTGCTTTCTGGTATGTGGCCAAGACAAAGAAAAATATCAGAAATTTGTATTTGCAAACTTGTGATCAGTCAGTGGATGTAATTATTGTAGCGATTAGAACAGCATGAGAGCCAGGCAAATAGTATTGAAGGAGAGATCAGTGATGGCAGCCTGCATGTTTTTCTCATGACAGGTTTCCTTCAAAGACAACATGTTTCAAACATTCCCAATCTTGATTGAGTCCAACTTCAAAACATGGTTCCTGTTTTCTCCTTTCTTTTTTTCATTTTCCTGGACAATGTTTCGAAGAGTGGGGTATATGTCCTTGCATCCTTGTGCATTCCTATCTCATGGAACTTCCATAACTTTTCAGTAGAGCACTACTGAATGTTTCCCCTCTTCTTCCACCAGTTCCGGTGCTGAACTCTCAATCAGGCTAATATCAGGGAAAGGTGAATTTTACTTCACCTGCAGGTTAGATAGTTGGATTATGCAAGACAAGTGGCCAGTCCAATCACTCTCCCCAAGTATTATTATGAGTACCATATCCTAGCTACTTTATGCATTATTGGTTTAGTCCCTGCTAAAAGGTCCTCAATCTACTGTCAAATAAAGACAGCTGGCAGTTATCTTCTGGCAATATACAGTAAGTAAGAGATAAAGCTGCAACCTGAAGTAGGGTTTGCCCAACTGAATATCTAATTTAGGGCATTTTAACAATCCACAAATGCGTAAACGTCACTTGAAACTGTTGTGTTTGAAATTAACTTACAATTTTCTACTTCTAGTAACTAATATTCTTTTTTTGTCTTCTTAGTTTAACTGTACAATCCCTCAGGACACTGCTCCCCCCTTTGATCTCATCTTTGCTCATCCAGACACCATAATAAACAATGTTACATTTAACATGGAGCTTTATAAAACGGATCTGTTCCTTACACCGCCTGAAAACTATTATTCAGTGGCTGAAAATGGGCAGGTTTATGTGGAGGTAAGCTGTTAGCACTATGGGAATCCCAGAAAGCAAATGCGGAAATGAAGAAATTTTTAATGAATGTGTAATTGTAAAACATTTTATCTTTACACAGAATAGTGAATGATTAAAGTGTAAACTCAAAAGTAATAATGTAATATATTGCATCAGCGTACCAATTCCTAAATTCTTAGATTTTGGTATTTTTCATTTATTTTCATCTGGTGATCCGGCCAGTAAGTCTGTTATTTTTCAACTTCCTTTAACAGACCAAGCTAGCAAAAGTGGCAGATAAAGGGACAACCATTTACCACTGATGGGTGCTTATAATAATCAGCTTTTATTAATTGTTAGCTGAAGTTCGGATTTAATGGGTTAGGTACATCTAAATCTGCTTGTTCATGTAACACGACCCACTCCACAGAGTGATAATGCTGCTGTCCAAGGGTGGTTCTGTTGCTCCTCCATCTCCATGTAGCCACCCTAAGATAGGAAATGTGTTACTGGCTGGATCAAAAGGGGACAATAAAGGGAAAAAAGCATAAAAATAAAAACGAATGCAGCCACCACATTTATGGATTGGTGAGCTGCAATATATACAATTTTTTTCTTTGGGTTTAGATAGTCTTTCAGATTATATTTCTTAAAATAATGCATATACTGTGGGAAGTTATAGATTACTAGAAGTAGGGATTTATTTGAGTTCTAATATTCTAATTTTCAGTGCTATAATAGCAATACATTACAAAGTAAATATCAGCATTCAAATATTACATAGTAAGGTAATACTATCAAGTTCAATCAATAGATGTGCTTGCATAATCATGTATTGAGATTTTCATCATAATAAAGAGAAAATACAAATTTGAGGAGTGTACAGGATAGGACTAATTTACATAGCCGTTCACAGCTATACACCTCCAGGTCAGAGTATTTCTGAGGCAGGTACGGCTAGGCGGTTTTTGATTAGCTGCTTACAGGAAGCCTTTACAAATCAATGACAGGCTGACACTGATGCTTATGGGTAAATAGAGTGATGAAAATGTCTCTTTAAGCTATCTGTGCATGTCGTATGTTTTAGATACCATTGGGGTATCTAAGACATTAGGAAGACAAGGGCAGACTGGGCCCACCAGCCCCCAAGAAAATGAAAAATATCACAGTTGGGTGGACTGACCCTTTTACAGTAAATTAGTGATGCATTTAAACATAGTTGTATAAACAATTTGTATCTCCAAACAGTTAAGTAGTTCCTCAAGCACAGTTTTTTTTTTTTAACTGAAGAGTAATCACATGCATTACAATGTAAATGACAATGCATAAAAATATCATTGTCATAACATTTTACTTCTTTAACGTTTTAAGGTTTCATTAACCAAGGCCGAAAAGGACCTGAGCTTCATGATCCAGACTTGTTTTGTTTCGAATTCCTCCAATTCTGACATGCTAAGCGAATATACAATCATAGAGAACATCTGTCCTAAAGATGACTCCATCAAGTTCTACAATGTAAAGAAACTGAACTACCCCAAGTCACAAGAACAAACAGAGAAGAAACGGTTCAGCTTTATGTTTAAATCTATGTTTAACACATCTCTGCTCTTCCTGCATTGTGAGTTGACCTTGTGCACCAATAAAGATGGAGAGATGGACAGCCTACCCAAGGTGAGATATTGGATCTTTTTGCCACTAGTTTTTTGAGGCCATTTAGCAGAATAAGTGACTTTTTCTTTTTATGGATCCACTCCAAGGTCAATGAGTAATTGGTAGGAAAAAAAAAACACATGATTACTTTACCATAATTAACCCCTGTCTGTATTGTGCTGGCAGATCTCATTAAAGGAGAACTATGGGGGTCAGTGTTTTTCCCCATAGTTCTCCTTGGGGTAACGGGAGGACACAAACTAGCATCCTCCCGATGTGAATTTGATTTGAACACTGCCTGTTTTAACAAAGGATTAAAGATCTAGAAGCATTGTACATTGATGAGGGAAACTCATTCTGACCCCACTTTATCCCGCTCCTCATTTACTGTTAAAAACTACAGGAATTCAACAAAGTTAACCCTTGCAGTGGGGGTACACCCACTGCAAAGGTTAACTGCTTGCTTTTCTCTAGGGGCCGAAAATATGATATACTCACCTGATTCTCATTCCTGTGGCGGTCAGCACTGACCTCTCTACCCCTCTGCTCCTGCTGTGGTATGTCCCTTGGTGTCCTCATGTCTAATGCAGGTTAATGAACCTGCCTAAGACAAGATGGCCTCACGGGTCCTTAGACCTCCAGAGTTCAGAGGAGAAATGACTGTTAAGGAGCGGTCTAGCAGACAGGCTGAGTGGACGATCAGGTGAGTATATCTTTTTTATTCTGACCCCTAGAGCAAAATGAGCAGTCAACTATTGCAGTGCAGGGGTAGCTCTACTGCAAGGGTTAACTTTGTTAATTCCTGGATTTGTTCTTTAAATTGTTCAGAGTAGCTTGCAGTCTGCTCCAACGAAACATCTAAAAGGTAAGAAATATGTTTAGGTATGTTGTGTGAATGGGAAAACATAGCAAACATATAGTGGGGTTTTCTCAAATATGACAACCAAAGTGGAAATACACTTTAAAGGACAAAATATTGGTCATAAAAGTCATGTTTTAAAAAGAACATTTGAGATTTCTATATTTTTCTCTGTAATTCGCTGCAGTGTTTATCTAGTAAAACACAGACCTTTATAACACTGTTAAGAGTGTTTATTTAAAAAAAATATCTTTCAGTTTGTGTTTTGACACTTGAAATGAATCCAGAAACAAGTTCAGTTGTTTGTTGTGTTCCCTTTTCCAGCTTTGTTTATAACCTCTGTTCATTCCTAAAATATATCTAAATGAAAAAACAAATATGTCATATACTGCAGTTTACCAGTTCTTAGATGTGGTGGCTGCTGGTGTTTCTGTTTTTAGGCAAGTACAGAAAAATACCTGTTGATCCTGCTAAAAATCCAGTGTCCTGGTAAATTCCTGTGGACTGAACTAAAATCTCAAACAATGTTATAAGTCTTTCATGCTATGGAGATAAGAAGAGAGGAGGTTAGTCCAAATCAGGAGAGTCTAAGGTGACAATGCTGCTTCTCCAGGGTTGTCACCCTAGGACAGGAAGTTTGTTACTAGCAAGATTGCCAGGGAAAAAAAAAAAGGAAAACGCTTAATAAAAAGGAGAACCTAATGCATCCACCACATCTAGGGACTGGGTCTATCTATGTTCTATTACATTTATGTTTTTTAGTTTTAGATACACCTTGGGATCCTAAGTGTTAACTTTATTAGGTACTTTTTGGTTGTACATGGTACAAAGCTGCTTGTCTCCTTTATTTTCAAAGTAACCCAAGCAGTGAGCGTTTACTGCATTCCTGAAATGAGCACTTACTGTGTGACAATAGTAAGAAGAGCAGATTGTGTCTGAAGGCTATGTGGAAAACCTCCACTAGTCAGTAATGAACTGAACAATCGTGACGGAATAGTTCTGTCAAGATAAATAAAGAGGCAGACAACAACATCCTATCTCTTAGAGCCAAGAACAGTGTCATTGTAGCCTCTATTTAGATTGCAGTTGCCATTGTGCTACACATCGTAAGCTTTGACACTAGCCCTTTAAGGGCTTGAAAGTTTGGTTGAGAGCTTAAATAAGCACACCGACAACCTTGACAGTTGAAATGCCTTACAATGTAACTGTTTTGGGAGACATTAAAGTAGTATTAAATGCTCCAGTGTTTTTAAGTAAATGCATTCTTAGCAACTTGTTAAACAATTAGTAGTACATCATCCTTTATATGTGGCCACAAAACACTTACATCATTTGCTACACACTGCCGCTGGCTCCAGGTTGCACAGCGCCGCTTCACACATTGTCCGGGTAGGGGAGCGTTCACCCTAGGTACTGCTCCAGCCACTGTCAACCACGTGCCTGGAGGCAGGATGAAGGGAGAGCAGGGGAGTGGCTTGCTGCCTGGGAAAGTTTTTTTTCTGTGGATGCAAGGTGCCAGCTGGTAGCATGCATGCAACGTGGCTGCATGGGACCCACTAAGAATAGAGTCACCCGAAAACAGGAATCAGGGAGGAGAGCATGAGGAGAGCACTTTGCGAGAGCTAATGCAAAGCAACCACAGGCTTGAAAAAAAAAGACAGACTGCAAGCAAGGCTGTGATCTGCCACATGATATACTTGTTTGCAATGAGGGTTTAATACCACTTTACATTGGTAGGTAAAGTTCCTCTTTAATGTATAATATTAATGTATAGAATCCCATCTGTTTTCAGCCTAGGCCTACTTAAAAATGATTGGCAGAACAGAAAACAGGAACAAAAGGGAAGTTGTCAACCAGTCGCATTTCACTCTTGAAAGAAACAAGGCATCTGACAGGTTGTTATGGTCTAGGTGGGCTATGATATGCTTGCAAGGAGAAGGGCCTAACTTTTTGAACTAAGAATGATATGTGGTTACTTTAGATACAAATGGTTCTTACTAACGGTTCTGCCTTGCATATTGTACTAGGTCAGCCTGACAGTCTGTGAAGCTTGTAAAGATACGTGACGCATCCCTCCCTGACCTTTCCTGTTTGTGTTTCAGTGCATTATTCCTGAGGAAGCATGTACATCTCTTGACAGCAGCATGATACTAATGATGATGGACAATAAGAAGTCATTCACAAAGCAACTAGCAGTGATCACAATGGAGAAAACTTCAGGTAATGCATCGCATTCCCAGAATCCCTTCCTGCAGGAAAAAAAGAATCATTTTGTTTTCTTAAAGTTGCACTGAACTCTTTATTAACTGTTCTTGATGAAAGAGACGTTCTCACACAGCTGGGCTGCTACAGGCGAATGTATACATCAGCGTCCTGTGCAGACGTTATAGGATGGTATAACATGTTTAAAATATTTGGGCCGTAGGATTTAACTTGATGTAAACAACTCAGTACCAAAGATATCCTTAAATGGGGATGTAATTGAAATTTGCACAGAACACTGCACAAGGGCAATACGCTTATTCACTGCACAGCGTGTTAGTCTATGAACTATTGCAAGGATTTACAATTATCACACGCTAATATAGTCGTTTTCTACTATTTATATGGTGCGGTGACATAAATGTTGCACAGTACCAGCTGGCGCACTGCCAAGAGGGATTTATTACTGCCAGATCGTGTCATGTAACTGTACATACTCTGCGTATGGAGTAAAAGCAGGGCACTCAGTAGTTTATAGCAAATAATCAGATATCTGTGCACTTTGCTACATGGTGATCCTGGGGAACAAGTGGAATGGATGCATCTCTGTTGGAATAATATGGAGTTATCATGGCAACATCTACATTGTTGAGTGCAGTGTAGTTTTAGAAGAAAACCTCATACACACGGTGTAAAAATGTCCATTAGATATTAAAATGAAGTGATAAATGTGTAAGATACAATGTATAGGTACTGTCAGTATATACAGTAGTCTTTATAATTTTAGAGGAAATGTATAATCAGGGCCATCCCTTTAATGAGGTAACCTGAGGCTGTTGCATTAGACGGCATCTCTTTGGGTCACGTTGGGGCAGGCAGAGTGGCATGTTTGTTGTATAGTGGTCTCTATGCTGCACAATGCTGCCCCCTTTCCGGGCAAGAGCATCCCTGGTTGCTAAGAGCTGGGCAGAGAGATGTATAAGGGCCATACACATCTCCCCGCCCAACTCTTGGCAACCTGGAATGCTCTCCTGCCCAGTTTCTGGCAACCAGTGACATCATTGATTGTCAGGAGCTGAGTGGGACACCGGCCAGAGCGTCCCACCCCCTTAAAGGCCCCACCGCCTCAGGCAGCAAAAAGGCTAGGGACGCCCCTGTGTATAATCTTTTACATTATTTAGATGTACTGTATATACGAATGCAAATCATGTTAATGGGAAGCCATATTTGTGCATTATATTATATGTAGTTTGTGCTTCTTGTTTGATAACAGTGTACAGTGATAGTGTGTTACTGCTCCTTCTTTTCTCACTGCAAGCCTTTCAGTCTGATCAGACAGGAAAACCCGCAATGATAAAAATACAGGAACTATCACTGGTGAGCATTTTTGAAAATGGTCAGACAGCACTGTCTTGTTGAGCTTTTCCTGAAACAACCAAGCAGATTAGGAACTTAAAGTGACATTAGAAGTCCTTGCAGCTAGGCTACTGGCATTTACAGAAAAAGCCAGCAATAGCAACATCCATTTTTTCTTTAACGACAGGTTTGCTTTTAAGGAGAACCCATCCCATAGTTAGAGCCGATGAGGGGGAGGGGGGTAATCCGCAATGCTGTCATTTAGCCAGCCAGCTGGGTGGATCTCGACAGTATTGTCGGGATCCGTCTCGGCTGCGGCGCTCTCACTACATAGCGGGCAATAGCCTGCTATATACTGAGTTTTGGGTCACGGGAGGACGTTAATATATATCCTCCCCTGACCCTAAAGAGAACTTAAGAAAAAAAGGTTACCCCATAGTTCTCCTTTAAAACCAACTGTAAAAAAAAAAACCTACATTACCTAAGCAGTCGTTCAGCAAGGATCCCTACGTCATTCCCCAGTACAGATAGCCAATACAAATCGCACAATTTGATATGACATTCAACCACTAGAATATGGAAACAAGCGTATCAAATGGGAATGAGGCAGGTAAAATTTGCTTGCAGTTACAGTTTCAAATAATTAACATGGCCATAGGTGCTGGACCTGCTACAGATTAGATTGCCCAATACATTGCTCACGGAAAGGATTGGCCCATATAGGGACGCCCTAGGAGGCCACAACTATTACTCCTGGTCATTGGAAACAGTATAACACAGAGAAGTTTTCGGACATGTTGGGAAATGTTTGTACATCAGGGCCCATCCCTTCCTTTTGTCATTGAGAAGGAGGAAATAAATAACTGACTGCACAAGCTCTGTTGTTCAAGTCACAAGATGGAGTGCTGTAGGTCTTATTTCTTTCAAAGATCTCATCACATTAAAGGGCCAATGGGGGGATCAAGAGATTTGCATATAACTTCAGCTGACTGTTTTAACATGCTGTTTTTACTGCAGGCAACCTTAACTTTTAGTACCATATACTTACTTTAAAGGTTTACATTAAAGTAGCATTAAACTCTCAAACTTTTTTTTTTAACCTTTTTACAATAATGAATCCAGATCAAACAAATATAAATTTCCCAGCAAAGCATTTCAAAAAATGATTTGCCTAAGCACTTAGTCATCAGTCATCATATTTCCAATCAGCTGGCTCAAACTCTCTCAGCTCAGCTTCCCTGAACTTCGTATCCAATACAAGATCGCAAGGGACAGAGCAGTCTACAGCAGTTGTTGCTCTACTAGATTGGAAAACAGAGGAGGGACAAGCAGGTAACAGGGGAGTGGATTCACTGCTGTATCTGTGTGTTGGTAGAGACACATAGCTTGCTAGCAGACAAAAGGGTGGCTCCATAGGACCCTGCAAGAGAAAGGAGCCACCCTAAAACAAGATATCAGGACCAGTGCTCGGGGACCAGCTGATTCTGCAGGGAATTAACCCTCTCGCTGCCAAGACATTTTTTGCACACATGTTATAATCCACATTTTAGGCCTGAAAATTACTTAAAACCCCCAAAACATTATATATACTAAAAACAAAGACCCTGTAGAATAAAATGGTGGCCGTTTGTAAACCTTTGTTGCACGATATAAGCATAACTCTTTATCAAACCCGAAATTTCAGTAAAAAACACACTTAAGCTAATATTAATGCCCAGAATCACAATAAAAATTGCATGCATCCATAAAATGGCGACAAAATACCGTAGCCCAAATTGTCCAAAGGCGATACTTTAAAAACCCATTCAGTTCATCAGTTTAGAGATATCCATGAATATTGGCACTATTGCTCCCACTTAGGCGCGCGAAGGGATACCCAACATGAGTAGCACAATCGTCATTTTCGTACATAGGCGTACTTGACATGTGTTTACGTTAATTACTGCGCACTTGCAGGGGTGGGGGACTTAAAATTTTCTTTATTATTTTGTACATTTATTTGATTACATTTTTTTTTTTTACTTAATTGCTGTCACATAAGGGGGCTTACAAGCCGCCAGAATCGCTTTCAGTGTAAAGCTGACAGTCAGCTTTACAAATGTAAACAGATAGCCACTGGGAGTCTGATTAAAGGGGCCGGCTGCCAGCAATATATGACATACGTCAGTGGCAGCAAAAGGGTGCCACCGAGCAGAATCAAGGAGCCAAGAAGCAGCATCCATTGTAAGTGATTTAATCAGCATTTGAAATGGCTTAAAAACATTTGACTTTGAATGTGGAAAGCTTAAGGTGACATTAAACATACTGTATGTCTTAAAACTTTTAGAATGTCTTTAGATTCCTTTTAAAATGTTATATACATTGTGGTTACCATGATAATGAAAATCACTTTGTAGATGGAAAATTTGTCACAGTTTAAAAGCCAGCCATTATATTCCAGGAAAACATTTACATGCAACAAGAGCACACTCACATCTCTCTGCTAGTGGGGCGAGATTAGTGGTGTTGCTGATCAACGTGACATTTAGTGATAACAGTGAACAGGAAGGAATGTAACGGTGTGAGATAGTTGAATGCAGGCTCAAGCATATCTGCATGGAAAGCTTTATCTCGCTGCTCAGCAGGAATATGCAAACCTTTCATGTACATTAACAGAATTGGTGCTGTTTTCTCATTCGGTTATTCTGTTTTCTATTACTACTATGTCAAACAAAAGGTGCCTTAGTCTAACCAAACATGGCGGTGTCAAACAATGTCAGTATTTCCGAAGAGGACACTGTCAGAATACCTCACTATCTTATTAGACAACTTTTGTCGAAGTATGTGACTGTATCATTAGACAATGCTGTCCATACAGAAGAGTTTGTTAGAACACGGAAGATGTCACCTAACACAAACCCTTTGACAGGTCATAACAAGTGATATTTCTATATCAGCCTTTCTCAACCTTCTTACCAAGGGGAACCCTTGAAATAATTTCCAGGTCTTGGAGAACCCAGCTAAAACCAAGGAATTGAGGTTCAGTGGGAAAAATGCCCCTTACTTTAGTATCTAGTGGGAAGAACCCTCCCCTTAAAGTGATGGTCAGAATGCCATACCTTTAGACCACTAAATAGCTCATTGCTGTTATGAAGTTGGCTCTGCCAAGTGGCATTGGCATGGGAAGGATGCAGGCACCATCAAATGGGAACTCAATCAGCTGCAGCTCAATGAACCCCTAGTAACCTCTGGAGGAACTCTAAGGTTCCATAGAACTCTGGTTAAGAATATTGGAGAAAACCCTCCTCAGCACATACGCCATATGTATGGGGAAATAGTGTTTGCAATAGGCTGTACATGTGTAAAGATAGTTTCTTATGATTTGAGCTACAAAGATTCTTGTGTTAGGAACCTACAAGTCTTTTTATAGCAAATACTGACCTAAAAATTCCATAAATCATGTGTGTCCTCATGTCCCTGCTTACTGCCCAAATGTTATTCACCAATTAGGAATAAACCAAAAAGGAGTTAAATACCTGATCCACGCTCCCCCTGCGGTCCGTCAAAGTTTTCACGTATAATGCAGGGCTAAGGGCCCTGCATTGTATGTGATGACATCAGCGGACCTCCGACCACTGGAACATAGGGGGGAGGAGGCTTCCGGTACCAGTCTTAGAGTTAAGGGAGCAAGGATCAGGTAGGTAAAAGTCCTTCATACAGCTACCCGAGACATAAATAGGGAGTTAACCCTTGCTGTGTGGCGCAGTCCCATTGTAAGGGGAGTTTGTTTTTCCGGAAGATAGATAAAGCCTGGAAGATAACGATACCAGCAACTATAGGGATTTATTTACCATTGCAGCCTGGCGGGAAATATGAATTCCAGTCAGGGGTCAGGTTGACAACCCATGCATCAAAGCCGTATAACAGATTGTAAAATAAGCACAAGAAAATGTATGCACATTATTCCTATCATATCTATCATACGTATGTATACCTATCATTTCATACGTTTCTAACATCCTGTATGTCAATTTGCAAACATGCATGTTGATTCACATGTACAGGTGCCATCATGGGTAATATGTTAATCCCTGAATTTGCCACTTGCCCAGGCTGTTTATAAGCAGTAATAATAGTTGAGGTGTATGCTATTTTATTTAAATATGTATAGGTTTGATATATCGTCCTTTTTTTTTTTTTTCTAAACAGATATTTCCAGCAATCCAAATCGTCCAACTTTACCCCAACGTAAGTTGTATTATTATTTTTGTTCATTTCATTTATTATTGTATATTGTACACTTTTTTTTAGTTGTCAGTATTGAGGGGCCTACTTAATCCATCTCCAATACTGTCAGCAAAGTATGTTTTTGGCATATGTAAATTATCACTGTTTTTATTGTTTCAAAAAGAAAGTTGCAACAGCTGTGATCTTGATATAACTTCAGGACTGTGATGTTTATATATGTATTGTGGCCCTGAAGTGGTAAAATTACTAAACCACAGACATAGTGACATCACTAATGTGAAAGAGGTTGATTATATTTGTAGAGGTCTTATTACAGATGTTATTTGGAAGGGATAGTGGACAGCACATTGCCTGGATATTGGGCTTGATGTAGCAAACTAGAATGAAAGTATCATCAATGCCCTCAGAAACCAGTCTAATGCTTGCTTTTATTTGTAACCCGCATGATAAAAATTATTCTAAATAACTTGTAGAATCTAATTACTGGCTGAAGTTAACACCAAAACTTTTTCTTTCCTCCCAGATTTTCTACTAGCTCTATTGTGTTTAAAACAAAGCAGCCTCCTGATGACTGTGTAGCTCCATTGACTCTGTATTATTAGTCTGTTGCGGATATGCCATTTAAACAAATAGAATGAATGCCCTAAAGGGTTTGAAATAAAATAGAAACACACTTGGATATCGGCAAAGGGTGTCTCTGTGACATATTCAACTAAAGGAAGTGTATTTTTTTTGTCTGGATTTAATTTCAAACATACACAGCTATGCCAAATTTTGGAAACAATGGATTCTATTTCTGTGATTTTGTGTCCTTTGCCTGACATCACTTATTTCCAAGCGGTTCCGCTCTCCACCTACAAATGGGAAGAAGGCCAAGTAGGTTTCATAGGTTACAGAATGAAATTGGCTGGAATGGCAGTACACATGTAGGAATAAGTGATATTTCCTTAAAACTCAGTAATACTGTCAGTGCAGCATTTAAGGGCCGCTGCAGTTAAGTGCTTCTGCAAAAATAAATTTTTCACGGTGCTGAATTTATACTTGTTCCGAAGGCCCTGATCTCTCCCAGCTATGTGGGGAGCGTTTTTTTTTTACCCAGAGCATGTCGATCTCAAACCCACAGACACACGCTGGTATAGAGCCTATGATTTATTGACCTTGCTGGGAAATGTGAATATATAGAACAGCTAGTTCAGTGTGGGCTAGTCAGATGTGTAGTCAGAATTAAATGCTGGAGATGTTTTCAAAGACACTCTGTGTGCAAGACTTTGTAAATAATGGCAAATTTGTTCTCTGTTAATATAGCGGTTTTCTATGGGCTGGACACCCCAACGGTTGTCGGAATTGCCTTTGCAGCGTTTATAATCGGTGCCTTATTAACAGGAGCCTTATGGTACATCTATTCTCACACAGGTATGTCCTTACTATATTTTACGTTTTTATATTTTGCTATTTTTTTATTCCATAAAACTGGTGTACAAAAGAGCTTTAAAACCATGCCAACAGACCTTTAGTCCCCGTTCACACCACCGGCTTTGTGGCTTGTATTTGTCAGCACAGAAAAGCTCCGCACAAGAAATCCTATTGATTTCCATAGTCCATGTTCTAGTTGAAGCGATATCCAGTGGGGAAATATTGCATAGCAGCTGGCATTAATGGAAAATCTACTAGTAGTAATTCAGCATAAACAACTTTAGAACATTGACTCTGTGCAGGAGTTTCCTGTAATAAAGACCGGCCACTGCCGCTCTCTCTGCATGTGCACGGTGACTGGTCTTGTATCCACTCCCCCCCCCCACACACACAACCCTGAGGCAACCTCTAGCTTTGCTCTCTGAACAGGCTTCGCCCCCTAGTGATGTCACCACTACGTTTACAATTTTATAATATTTGGGTTTGCAAAGGCATTTTGTGCTCACCAAGTGGATATTAAAGAATATATTCAAATTAAAGTTGATGTGCCTGGAGCTTTAATGGGTTAACTGATTATCTTTTAGGATGTTCAAACACACTGGCAGGACAATGGCCCTTTTCAAGCCCTGCAAAAAAAGGTAATAGGTGCGTTTTATTGGTGGACAAATATAGACACATTAGAGCTGTAACATGACGGTTTTCTGATCCCAACATTTGTAAGGGCTTTGAACCTTTTAATACCTTTTAATAGTTAAAAAAAGATATGTATAAAGTATATAAGATGACAAAAAGGTGGCTGATTACAAAATGTAGGTTTCACATTATCACTGTGAATCACACGCTTCCTAGTGTTTTGATTGTGTTTGTCCTACTGGTGAGTGTGTAGCCTGAACCCTGTCACATAATTTATTATGTTTGTTCAGAGATTTGCCTTCCTCAGCTTCCCAAAAGCTTGGACTGGTACAAAGAACTGTCCCCTGTTTATTGTATTGTAATATGGCCACTTGCTTGCCTGCCATCAATCAATAGGATCTTATTTTATAACTTTAGAATCTGTTATACTGCTGGGAAGGAAGGAATTAGGAGGTCCCGTGCCGCACTTCCAAGAGTGCAGATAACAACAAAATGTGGGTCATTGGTGTGTAATCAATTTTATATTTCATTACAACTTTATTTATGTAACAACATGTATATACAATGTGGTGGTTGAGTAGTTTAGTTGTTATGTTGTTTGGAAATTTGTGCAGTTCAGTTGTCACAAGCTTCAAGATCACTGAAAGGGTTAAGTGCTCATTTTGTCCAGTGGGCTGTATTACTCACCTAATCCCAGCTTCTGTGGTGGTGGGCACTCACCCCCTCCCTCTCTGCTCCAACTATGAAATGTCCCTTGGCTTCCTCATGTCTAATGCATGTCAATAAGATGGTCCTTGGGCCACCGGTGGCCAGGGGAGGATAAGCAGCGGGGATGGTCTAGCAGCCCAGATGGGGCAGCGGGACCGAAGATCGAGTAAGTAAATCTGCTTTGTGTCCCCTAGACAAAACAAACACTTTTGTCTAGGGCAGCGATCGCCAACTTTTCGGACCTCATGGACCACTAAATTCATCATTTTAAATCCCGCGGACCACTCATATGAATTTTTTAAAAATATATATATATTCTCATATTTTTTGTTTCCTCATATATAAATATATTCTCGTGTGTGTGTGTATTTATACACACACACACACACACACACACACACACACACCCCACTTTTTCTATGTCCCCCCGCCTCCTGCAGAGCCCGCACTGTCCCAAGAGCCAGTTCTCGTGGTCCACAGACCACCGGTTGGGACTCAGGGGGCAGCCCCACTGCAAGGGTAAGTTTGTGATTTTCCTGTCGTTCTTCTCTAAACAAAGGCCCTCTGACTGGAATGCCAACACTTAAAAAGACCCGATAAGCCCTTAAAAATCTGCTCAGGCAAAAAGCCAATCAGAGCACACAAATGAATAGAAAACATATACCGTGTACATTCCATATTTCTAGATATAAAGCTTCCTCCACCCCTGTGGTTTTGGGAAGTGATCCTTCAGGACACAGCTGAGCTATTCTACACCACAAATCATTTGTCTCTGCAGAACAGAAACCCTTCAGCCTGAAGTTCTCGTAAAAAAAGTAAAAAGTACTGGAACTCATTATAGTACTGCTCTATGTATGGGGATTGACTATGTCAGGGCAGAAGCAATGTAGGGGAACAAGACTGTTCAAAATTAAATGTAGCTTATGTGTTCTGGAGAGAGTGATTTTAGTGATTCTTTTACTGGAAATCTATAGCCATTGTCAGAATCGCTACTGTGACATGACCCTTAGGGTTGGTGTATATGGGTTTTTGAGATCAGTTTGTGTGTTGCTTGCATTCCTTAATTACAAATCAGTATGAATGCATTGAAAACTCACAGTAAACATATGGCAAACACATGATAAGCCGATCTCAAACACCCGTGTACATATGCCCTTAGTGTCAGCATGATGTCATTCTAAATGGAGTGTAAAGACAGGAGCCCCTATGGTAAGCATACAGCCAGGTCTGTGTTGAGTCTCTGCACAATTATCATGCATTCTCTTACCTAATTACCAATCATTCAAAGCAGAACTCTGGAACTCTGGGTAATACATTTCTGAATACTTGCAGTAGGGCCACCCTCACACTTCAAGGATTAAGTGTTTGCTTTTGCCTAGGTTCAAAATTAAGAAAGTTATGCTCACCAGATCCTCCAAGCCAGCATGCTCTTAGACCGGTCCTTCCAGCCTCGCTCCCCCTCGGCTGCAGTGGTCTAGGGTCCCTGCGTTATCACAATGTATACACTGTGTATAGGACGTGAGGATGCCGGGGGACATACCATTGCTGCAGCAGAGAAAGAGAGACACGGAAGGGACCGGTCTAAGAATAAGCTGGCTCTGAGATTTGGGTGAGTATAACTTTGTTATTTTTGAACTTAGGCAAAAACAAGCACTCAACACTTGCAGTGCAGGGGTATCCCCACTGCAAGGGTTAAGAAAAAAATTCCCTGGGATTTTTAACCCTTTCTTCTGCTTTGTTTAACACAACTCCAGGCAGATATAAAACGTATATATGTATTTTGATAAAACAACTAATATAATTACCTAACTTTGACTTGATTTCAGAATTTTGCCTGGTGCCAGTTAGGTGACCTGTGTTTGCATATGCTAGCAAAGAACATGCTGACCGTAGCAGAGAGCAGAGAAATCAGTCTGCTTGTGCTCCTTCATTGTCTAATCACAGGCTAAGAGCAAGAAAAAGACCTAACTTAGTTGCCTAAATGTAGCACAGAAAATCAGGTCACCAGGCCAGAAGTGCTGAGTGACAGAGCTGTGTAAAATTTGGGATTGACTGTACAGAATTACAAATCTTTAGGTGGATAATACATATCTCATTCATTTATTTCAGGTATGTATTTAGCTGTTTGCCTTAAAGTAAGTAGTATTAAGGTCTGGGCGCTCTTTACAAAGGGCCCAGTACCTTTTTTCTCCCCCAGTCCCCCCCCCCCCCACTGTTTGTGTCTGTGGACACACACAGCCACTACAGGCACGAGTACGCTTGGGTGCCTCCATTAGCCGATGGAGGCACTCGTGCAGGCGGCGGGGGGAAGATTGCTGCGAGGACCCACTTGAAAACGAGGAATTCAAAACTTTTAAAGAAAATGTGTGTGTGTGTGTGTGTGTGTGTATATATGTATATGTATATATATATATAAGATGTCAAAAAAGACAAAAAAAGGAGGCTTTATTATCACTTTAAGATGAGCTTTAAATCCCAACATCAGGGAAATTAAGTTTTCCTTTGCAGTAGGGCTCCCCCTGCATTGCAAGGGTTAACTGCTTGTTTATGCCTAGGGCACAGGAAAAAGATTTTTTACTTACCTGCAGAGAGCCAACTTCCAGTTGAATGGGGATCAGGTAAGTAATATAGCTTTTTCGTGTCCCCTAGGAATAAACGAGCAGGTAACCTTGGAAGGTGGGGGCAGCCCCACTGTAAGGAAATACTTTTCATTTACCTGTAGCTGGGCTTCAACCACACAGTCCTGGTAAGCTACCCAAGCAGCCATTCCTTTATAGTATCAATAAAGTGCACCCATTTATTATTCAACTTCCAGTTTCAGATTGTCAGAACACATTGATCTTAAACTTCCTTTGCATATGCATGGAAGGTTCACAGAGAAATGGCTTAAAATGTTAGACAGAACTGTCAAGATGGTCTCTTGTGATGACTAATAAAAGTATCAGTATATGCTAAGCTCTGGGAAATAAAGTCATGTGTTTTATGACAAACGTGAATTCCACACAAAGCCATTTAAGAAAGTTACCCCTAAAGAAACGTTAATGTTATTTCTATTTTATGTCTCTTTGTCTGACTACATTGACATTTAAATAATGGAAAACCCAAAATACTTTCATGGCAGATGAGTAAATATGATCGTGTTTAACAGTCTCTTGCTTACTATATGTTAACACTTGTTATTATTCATTATTGATTGTTTATTGTAATGCGAACATATCGGCGTTTGTTCATGCACTGTTAAATCATTGATGTAATGTTTGTTTGTAGCAGATAAGCAGTGGTTATGTCAAATCAGGAACTTGTGTGTCTCAATGGAGCCCTCTAGCTATTGGTCACTGTAGAGCACTGTTCATATACTATGCAGTTCTTTCACATTTTATTTTCATGCAACAAACACATGGAAGGCACACATCTTTATATCTGAAGTGTATGGTATGAAGGGCCAGCTTACTTTTGTGCAACAGCAGTGAGATTTCAGTTTTGGTACATACTAGTGGGTTCAGTTATGCAGCAACTTTTTTTCTATCTCAGTATATGTGTCAGAGAGTTACCGTATATGTACCCGATTTCTCAGGTCCACCCAGCTGCCCATTACCCCAGTTCTTTCCATAAGATGGTGCTGAGGAGCATAGGAATTCATATAATCAGCCCCTATGTAT